ATATAGTAGAGCTCGACTGTTCCTCCAAGTGAGATGGCCTTCATAAAGCAATATGAACAAAATTCATGTTAACATGAGAGTTGTCAGTTCTAGAGTATTAGAACTGCCTCTCACTCACATTGGAAAGCAGATGCTCTGCTTTTGTACACCTCATTTTTTTGGGTTCAGCGCAGTAAAATGTCAGAATTGGTGCAAAAAGGAATAGAGTTTTTAGCACACAGAGATTTCTTCTCTTCCAGGGTCCCAGTGTCCTTCAGTGTCTTGTTCTGATAAAAAGAATTAAATGCCACCCATTTTTATTATCACTTTAAGCATTAGTAATGAAACAAAGGATATCACTATAGTCAGCCAATGAGTATTTGTATTAAAGGAGAGGAATCATGACTTGGAATGTTTTAAATATGTACTAACATAGCTTCATCATGTTGTTTATGCAAATGTTAAAATAAAAGTAAAGAAGGTAAGCCAATCTAGAATAAAAAGTTGAGCCCAGCCCAGCTGGTGTGGTTCAGTGGTTGAATGTCAACCCATGCACCAAGAGGTCGCAGGTTCAATTTCCCGTCAGGGCACATGCCCAGGTTGTGAGCCTGATCCCCAGAGGGAGCATGCAGGAGGCAGCCAATCGATGTTCTCTGTCATCGATGTCTCTCATCTCTCTCCCTCTCCCTTTCTCTCTAAAACCAATAAAAGAAATTTTAAAAGTTAAGCCCGGCCAGTGTGGTTCAATGGATTGAGTATCATCCTGTGGACTGAGAGGTCCCAGTTCAATTTCTGGTCAAGGCACATGCCCGGGTTTTGGGCTCGATCCCCCAGTAGAGTCATGCAGGAGGCAGCCAATTGATGTTTCTATCTCTCCCTATCTCTCTATAAAAATAATCAATTTAAAAAAAAAAGTTGTCCTGGCCGATTTGGCTCAGCGGTTAGAGCGTCAGTCCGTGGTCCAGAGAGACCTGGGTTCAGTTCCTGCTGGGGGCATGTACCTCGATTGCAGTTTGTCCCCGGCCCTGACTTGGTCGTGCGGGTGGCAACCACTCGATGTGTCCCTTTCACGTTGATGTTTCTCTCTTTCTCTCTCCCTCCCACTCTATCTGAACAAAAAATGGAGGAATGTCCTCAGGTGAGGATAAAAAAAAGTTAACAGCCATGAACAGAAAAAATACATGTTTTCTTCTGTGTTGAATATGGATCTTTCTGAAACGATAAGGGACATGGTCTGTCCTGTCTTTTCTCTATCCCTAAAAATAAACTACCTTGTTCCTAGTAAAAACTACTTACAATGGTAATGAAAATGAACATATGGAAAAGGACATTGGTCTAGAAGTCAGGCAGAAGGCCTGTTCAAAATTGTTTTTTGAAAAATAAATATTATATGGTTTCATTTATTTGAGATGCCTAGAGTAGTCAAATTCATAGAGCTAGAAAGTAGAGTAGTGGTTGCCAGGGCCTGGAGGGAAGGGGGAATAGGGAGTTCATAGGTAGAGGGTTTGTTTTGCAAGATGAAAATAATTCTGAAGATTGGTTGCACAACAGTGTAATGTACTTAACACTACTAACCTGGAAACATTTAAAAATGGTTAAGATGGGTATTGGCTGGTGTTGCTCAGTTGGTTGGAATAGTGACCCATGCACCAGAAGGTCTTGGAGAGGCAACCAATTAATTTTTCTCTCTCATATTGATGTTTCTCTCTCTCTTTCTCCCTCCCTACTTTTCTAAAAAAATCAATAAAGTTTTTTTTAAATAGTTAAGGTGATAAATTTTATGTTTATTTGACTACAATTTTTTAATTTTTTTTTTGTTTGTTTGTTTGTTTTATCCTCACCCGAGGATATTTTTCCATTTTTTTGTACAGATAGAATGGGAGGGAGAGAGAGGAAGAGAGAGAGAGTGAGAAACATCGATGTGAAGGGACACATCGAGTGGCTGCCACCCGCACGACCAACCAGGGCCGGGGACAAACTGCAACGAAGTACGTGCCCTTAGCGGGAACCGAACCCGGGTCTCTTGGGACCGCAGGCCGACGCTCTAACCGCTGAGCCAAACTGGCCAGGGCCAATTTTTTTATTTTTTAATCCTTACCCAAGAACATTTTTTCCATTTATCTTAAGATAGAGTGGGAGGGAGAGAGAGAAATATCAACACGAGAGAGCTGCGCCCCCCACATGACCCCAACCAGGGCCAGGGATGAACTGCAACCAAGGTATGTGCCCTTGACTGGAATCAAATCTGTGACCCATTGGTCCGCAGGCCAACGCTCTAACTACTGAGGCAAACAGGCCAGGCTACTACAATTAAAAAGAAATTTTTTGTCTCTTTGGCCCTGGCTGGTGTAGGTCATGATTAGAGCATCAGCCCCCACACTGAAGGGTCTCAGGTGTAATTCCTGGTCAAGGACACATATCTGGGATGCAGGTTCAGTCCCTGGCCCTAGTTGGGGCATGTGGAAGAGGCAACCAATTGATGTGTCTCTCTCCTGTCAGTGATTCTCTCTCCCTTTCTCTCTTGCACTCCCCTGTCCCCCACTTTCTCTAAAAACAAAACAAAACAGTGGAACCTGGCTGGTGTGTCTCAGTAGTTGAGCCGTCAACCCATGCACGAAGAGGTTGCTGGTTCGATTCCTGATCAGGGCACATGCCCCGGTGGTGGGCCCAATCCTCGGTGGGGGGCATGCAGGAGGCAACCAGTCGATGTTCTCTCTTGTTGGTGTTTCTTTCTCTCTCTCTCTCTTCCTCTTATCTCTAAAGTCAATGAAGAAAAAAAATGTTTTTTTATTTTTTAAATCAATGGAAAAAGTATCTTTAGTGAGGATTTTAAAATCAAATGTAGCCTTGGCCAGTTTGGCTCAGTGGTTAGAGCGTTGGCCCACAGACCAGAGAGTCCTGGGTTCAGTTCCACTAAGGGCACGTTCCTTGGTTGCATTTGTCCCCGGTCCTGGTCAGGGTCGTGTGGGAGGCAACCAGTCGTGTGTATGTGTGTGTGTCTCTCTCTCTTTCTCTTTCTCTTTCTCTCTCTCTCTCTCTCCATCCCTCTCTCCCTCCCTCATCCTTCCATTCTATCTGAAGATAATTGGAAAAATATCCTCAGGTAAGGGTTATTTTTTTTTAAAAATTTTTTAGACTCTCATTTCTAGTTTCTGGAAAGGTTCAGTGTATATAGTAAAAATAGTATAGGCTCTGAAATCTGACAAACTTAGGTTTGAATCCCAGCTCTCTGTCACTTACTAGCTTTGTGACCTCAAGCAAGTTACTTAATGGACCTTCAGTTTCCTAACCTGCAAAACAGGATGATACCACCACATAGAGATATTGGGATGTTGGTAAAGCACCAAGTTTAATGTCCTAACATGTGATAAGTATTCAATAGTTACTTACATTCTTATTACTCGATGTTCTGTTTTCAAGGGACTCTCTCTGGACTGGGAGTATATTTTTAATTTTTTTTCTTTATTGATTTTAGAGAGATGAAGGGAGAGGGAGAGAGATAGAAACATCGATGAGAAAGAACATAGATTGGCTACCTCCTGCATGCCCCCACCTGGAGATTTGGCCCACAACATGGGCTTGTGCCCTGACCAGAAATTGAACCAGCGACCTCTTGGTGCATGGGTTGAGGCTCAACCACTGAGCCACACCAGCCAGGTGCAGACTGAGAGTATATTGGTGACATACACACAGTGGGTGACTCAGCAGAATTAAAAGTTTTCTTTAAGCATAGTGAGATGAAAAGGTTGGGCCAGAAGCATGGACTCAGTGGGAAAATTGGTTTCTCTGCTATTTCTAAGCTACCAGGTAGGATTTTAGTAACTAGTTATAAGAGAGGGCAGAGATTATTTGTGCTATAGCTGCATTTATGGGATGGATAAGCCTTGACTTGTATTCTTCCATTAGTCCTCATTCTGTCCATGACCTGCCCTCTTTATTCTTCAGGGTCAAAGCACGAAGTGGGAGCTCCCAGCGACAACATCAGTCAGCAGCCAAAGACCTAACCCAGTCTCCTGAAGTTTCCCCAACAACCATCCAGGTGACATACCTCCCCTCCAGTCAGAAGAGTAAACGTGCCAAGCACTTCCTTGAATTGAAGAGCTTTAAGGACAACTATAACACACTAGAGAGTACTCTGTGATGGTGCTGAAGGACTTGCTGTTGATGGAACCAGAGAGACTGCATGTGCTTGCCAGGTGCCCCTCAGGTCATCTGAATCAGCAGGCCCAGACTGGATCAGCCGAAGCTCCTGGTCATGTCCAGAGCTCTTAGAGCTCATGCCCAGAGAATCATTCTCCAAACCTTTCTTATGGCCAGTTTCAAAACATCAGTTAAGACTTTATTTTCCTTTGGTAGCACTGTTGTTGTTGTTTTTTTGGAGTTGAATTCTGATGTTTTTCTTAATGTTTCTGTCAAAGCTTCCTTTTAAAATCCTCACTTGGGCCCTGGCTGGTTTGGCTCAGCAGTTAGAGCGTCAGCCTGCAGACCAAGGAGTCCCGGGTTTGATTCCGGCCAAGGCATGTACCTACATTGAGGTTTGTCCCCTGCCCCGGTTGGGGTTGTGCGGGTGGCAACCAGTCCTGTGTCTCTCTCACATCAATATTTCTCTCTCTCTCTCCTTCGCTCCCAATCTGTCTGAAGATAAATGTAAAAATATCCTTGGGTGAAGATTAAAAAATAAATAAAATAAATTTTTTAAAAAATCCTCACTTGGTATTGATCATAGTTTATCTTCCCTTTTCCAGACTATAAATAATCCCAAGAGTGAGAGAGTTGGGGTGACGGAGCAAGAATGGTCAGACCAATGCACTGGTCTGATTTTGTAAATTAATAAAATGAGCAATTAAACAATAAAGCATACGACTCATTTATTTACAGTTGCCTTTTAGTAAAACAGGCATATGGTATGTCCTCTGTACCTGCCTAACAGTATGGCATAAGGGTTTCCTTTCAAAATTGGTAGGACTGGGGACCCTGGATTTGGAACCATACAGATACTCCTTGGGCACCCAACAGAAGAAATTCTAGAGTCAGTACTATGGTCCTTGCTCATAAAATTGCCTGTGTCACTAATAGAATATTGGAGAATCAGGATTTCCTTTCAGGTCTCTGGGGCAACAGGCCAGATGACCAATCAACTAGGTGTAGGGTCATTGTTGGAGGTGGAAATGTTGCTATGACTACTGAAACCTTGGTGATTGTACCAAACAGAAAGAGCCTGTTCAGTCTCCCAGGACCATATCGAACCAAGTCTGTAGATATGTCTATGGAAAGCATGGCAAAGATAGAAGAGGTATGCAGAGTTAGAAGGAGCTGGGTTGGAGGGGATTTCTCTTGAGGTTTCCAGATAAGTTGACCAGAAGTGGACCTTCTGAGAGAGGCCCTTGATGTAACAGAAGGATAGTAACAAAAGTGGGAGACTATGGCACATAGTAGGTAGTATTCTAGTATATATGCCATACCAACTCCTACTTGTTCTCTTTGATCTATTCTAAAAGAAATAGACCTTCCCACCTCCCCTAGGAAATTGGCCCCTGTCAAAAGAGGAAGATCTATGTGTCTTCTATTAGAATAGGATACCAGGGGTGATAAGGCAGATCAACAGAACTCCCTTTTTTTTTTTTTGTGGTACGTGCCCTTGGCGGGAACCAAACCTAGGACTCTGGTCCACAGGCCGACGCTCAGCCGCTGAGCCAAACTGGCCATGGCATGAACTCCCTTTTCTTACAGAGTTTTCAAAGAGCCTTGGAACTTAAGAAGATGGTTGACAGGTAATCTCTGCTTCTATTTCTTCCCTTACCCTTCAGCTTGACCTTTTACCCTCCTGTACTCCCTGAGCCACCTCTCAGCTCCACTTCATCTTGCCTAGGGGCTCATCAAGAAGGAAAATGGGCCCTGGCCTGTTTGGCTCCGTGGTTAGAGCATCGGTCCGTGCACCAATGAGTCTGGATTTGATTCCTGTCAAGGGCACATACCTCAGTTGCAATTCATCCCTGGCCCTGGTTGGGGCCCTACCGGAGGCAGCTACTCAATGTGTCCCTTTCATGTGTGATGTTTTTCTCTTATTCTCTCTCCCTCCCACTCTATCTGAACAAAAATGGAAAAATGTCCTCGGTAAGGATAAAAAAAAAAAAAAGGAAGGAATATGGGTATGAAGAGGGCCAGAAGCAGATCTGTTCTCAGCAGAGGTCAGCCTCCCAATACCCACTAGGTTAGGCTATACAGACAATGGTGGTGGTTTTCGTTTTTGTTTTATTCCTCACCCAAGGATATTTTTCTATTTATCTTCAGATAGAGTGGGAGGGAGAGAGAGGAAGAGAGAGAGAAACATCAACATGAGAGGAACACATCGACTGGTTGCCTCCCACACAACCCCAACCAGGGCCGGGGACGAACCACAACCAAGGTATGTGCACTTGGCTATGATCAAACCCACGACTCATTGGTCCACAGGCTGACGCTCTACTGTTGAGCCAAACTGGTCAGGGCCAATAGTGGTTATTTTATAAACCGGTCTAGGATTGCTCGACTGGTGTGGCTCAGTGGTTGAGCAGCAACCCATGCACCAAGAGGTCACCAGTCCAATTCCCAGTCAGAGCACATGCCAGGTTGTGGGCCCAATCCCCGGTGGAGGGTATGCAGGAGGTGGCCAATTGATGTTTTCTCTCATTTATGTTTCTATCTCTCCCTCTCCCTTCCTCTCTCTCTAAAAGCAATAAAGAAAATAAATTAATAAAATTTTTTAAAAATCGGTCTGGGATTGAATAGGATAAGACTTTTTTTTTTAATCCTCACCCGAGGACACTTTTCCATTTATCTTCAGATAGAGTGAGAGGGGGAAAGAGAGAGAGAGAGGGAAACATTGAGGCAAGACAGACACATTGATTGGCTGTCTCTCGCACAACCCCAACTGAAGCCGGAACCAAGCAACAACCCAGGTACATGCCCTTGACCAGAATCAAAATCACGACTCTTCTGTCCTTGGGCTAAGGCTCTAACCACTGAGCAACTGGCCAGGGCTAGCATAAGACTTTTTTAAGATTTCACAGGTTATACCTAGAGCTAGCAAGGATTTGAGGCAACAAGGATGCATATAATTTTAGTGGGATACCAGCTTTTTTTAAGAGATTTTTTTAAAATTAATTTTTAGAGCCCTGGCTGGTTTGAATCAGCAGTTAGAGCATCAGCCTGCGGTCCAGAGAGACCCAGGTTCGGTTCCCTCTAAGGGCATGTACCTCGGTTGCAGTTTGTCCCCAGCCCTAGTTGAGTTGTGCGGGAGGCAGCCACTTGATGTGTCCCTTTCATGTCTATGTTTCTCTCTCTCTCTCTCTTCCTCTCTCTCCCTCCCACTCTATCTGAACAAAGAATGGAAAAATGTCCTCGGGTGAGGATAAAAAATAATAATTATTAATTTTTAGAGAGGAAGGGAAAGAATAACATTGATTTGAGAGCAAAACATCCATTGGCTGCATCCTGTACTAGGGGATCAATCCCACAACCTGGGCATGTGCCCTGACCGGGAATTCAACCAGAAACATTTCAGTGCATGGGGTGACATGCCCAACAAACTGAGCCACACCTGCCAGGGTGAAACTCCTAAGAATTTACTATATATATATATATATACCTTCAAAAGTACTAGAATGTACATACCGAAGAGCATTCATGACAGTATTGTTTATAAAAGAGAAAAGCTAGCCTGCACAGTGTGGCTCTGTGGATTGAGCATGTCCCATGGACTGAGAGGCCCTGTTTTGATTTCTGGTCAGGGCACATGCCCAGGTTGCGGGTTCAAGCCCCAGAAGGAGTCATGCAGGAAGCAGCTGATCGATGTATCTCACATCGAGATTTCTCTTTCTCCCTCTCTCTAAAAAAAAAATCAACAAAAACATATTTAAGCGTCTTTTCATGAGGAAACACCAAATGGTAGGTGACACAAGTGCTACAGGAGGGTCTAGAGGCCGCAGGGTCCCTGGAATGGGAGGCTGCAGAGGCTTCCGTGGAGGATTTGGCACCAGCATCCAGGGCCAAGGTCTGAGGTCTCGGCTGAGGTCGAGGTCAGGGCCTCGGAGCCTATGGAGTCAAGGCAGAGGACAAAGAGTGGATCCCTGTCACCAAGCTAGGCCGCCTGGTCAAGGACATGAAGATCAAGTCCCTGGAGAATATCTATCTTTTCTCCTTGCTCATCAAGGAATCTGAGATCATTGAATTTTTCTTGAGGGCATTTCTCAAGGATGAGGTTTTGAAGATTATGTCTGTGCAAAAGCAGACACACGCTGGCCAGAGGACTCAGTTCAAGGTATTTGTCCTCATTCGTGACTACAATGGACATGTTGGTCTGGGTGTTAAGTGCTCGAAGGAAGTAGCCAGTGTCATGTGTGGGGCCATCATCCTAGCCAAGCTCTCTATTGTCCCTGTGTGGTGAGGCTACTGGGGAACAAGATTGGCAAGCCCCATACCATCACTTGTAAGGTGACCAACTGCAGTGGCTCTACTGGTGCGCCTCCTCCCTGCCCACAGGAACATTGGCATAGTCTCAGCTCCTGTGCCCAAAAAGTTGCTGATGATGGCTGGTATCGACAACTGCTATACCTCGGCCAGGGGCTACACTGCCACCCTGGGCAACTTCGTCAAGGCCACTTTTGATGCCATCTCTAAGATCTACAGTTATCTCACCCCCATTTCTGGAAGGAGACTATGTTCACCAAGTCTCCCTATCAGGAATTCACTGACCATCTTGTACAGACACACACCAGGGTTTCCATGCATAGGACCCAGGCTCCAGCTGTGGCCACCATGTAATTTTATATAAGAAAAATAAAGTGAATAAAGCCTGTTAATGAAATTAATAAAAATTTTAAAATTTAATTAAATAAAAACATTTTTAAAAAATATCAGTGGGGTTATCTGGGGAATATACATATGTATATTCATTTTATGTATTAAAATCCCTTAACAAGTTATTCCAAAACCTATGTAGCTAGGGTTGAGAATCACTGGTATGATTAATCCTTAAATTAGATTTGATACCCAGGTCTGCCATTAAGTGACCTTGGGTAACTCCCTGAAATCTTAATTTCTTTGTATAATGCAAAAAGTATTATCTATGACACATGCTTATTATGATTAAGTGACATAATGAACTTTATACTAGGTTCTAAGTTAGTTCTAGTTACGCTTTCAAGGAGTTTGCAGTCTCTGACACGGAGATTTTGGTGAAGAAGCAGCTTCAGCCCTGGCCAGTTTGGCTCAGCTGTTAGAGTGTCAGCCTGAAGACCAAAGTGTTGCAGGTTTGACCTCCGTCAAGGTTCGGTCCAGAGCCCTGGTCTGGGTCGTGTGGGAGGCAACCAGTCAGTGTGTCTCTTACATCCATGTTTCTCTCTTTCTCCCCTCTCCCCTCTCCCCTCTCCTTCCCTCCCACTCTATCTGAAGATAAATGAAAAAATATCCTCAGGTGAGGATTTAAAAAAAAGAAGCAGCAGCCTCACTGATGAGGTTTTTGTCTTTACGCCTAACTCTAACCCAGCGGTTCTCAACCTGTGGGTCGCGACCCCTTTGGGGGTCGAATGACCCTTTCACAGGGGTCGCCTAAGAACATCGGAAAACACATATTTCCGATGGCGATTCATAACAGTAGCAAAATTACAGTTATGAAGTAGCAACAAAAATAATTTTATGGTTGGGAGGTCACCACAACATGAGGAACTGTATTAAAGGGTCGCGGCATTAGGAAGGTTGAGAACCACTGCTCTAACCCATTCAACCCATACCTCTATACCTGGGGCAGGTGGCGAAATTCACACATTCACTGTCTGTGGCAGATGACATTGAGCCAGAGGCGAAACCCTTATGCCACCCTAAGGATGCAGGATTTCATGGTACAGGAGTTGGCACTGGCCAATAAGCAACTACTGATGGTGAGTTCTAGCAAGGGTGACCTGAGGTCTCATCCACTACTGCTCTATGCCTATGCCCACTGGGATTCCCAAGCTCTTAATCTCTGTCATTACTCACCCATTTTATTTGCCTCTGAGGTTTTCACTCTTACACCAGAGCAATAACTTTTAACTCTAAATGCCTAAGCTCCTTTTCATTAAGTGATTCTTTGCATGCAGCTGCAGATAGAACATTACAAAGTTCCAAAGTACAGTCTAGCCCTTGCTCCTTTCATCTTGGTGATACTAAAACTGCTTTATTGCCCAGCACCCACCTTTCAAAACCTCTCTACCTAGAGTCCTCAATTGTTGTCATGTCACCATCTTTGTAAACCAGGTGCCTAGCAGAGTTCCTGGTTCATGGTATGTTCTCAGCAAATATTTGCTGAACATGGGGCTTCACCCTGGAGAAGAAATTGGGTAGGCTTCTCTTCCAATAGTTTAGCCTCTATGCTACTGCCTAGCTTTATGTCACAGCTAAGTCCAGATCCAAGAGAATATGATAAAATAATGAGAAAGCAACTTGGGAGAGAGAATGAAAAAGGGGAGTAAACAAAGAGCAAACATCATACTGTGAATGAAAAGGGGCCGCATATTGCCCTGGCCGGTTTGGCTCAGTGGTTAGAGCGTCGGCCTGTGGTTCAGAGAGACTCGGGTTCGGTTTTCCCTGAGGGCATGTATCTCAGTTGCAGTTTTTCCCCAGGTCTGGTTGGGTCATGTGGGAGGCAGCCACTTCAGGTGACCTTTCACATCTATGTTTCTCTCTCTCTCTCTCTTCCTCTCTCTCCTGCCCACTCTATCTGAACAAAAAAGTGGCCTAGGGTGAGGATAAAAAGGGGGGGGGGCACATACTAAACCTGACACGCTCAGGGAAGTCTTGCACGGTGGATATACAAACTCAGAGGTTGAGCGTCGACCCATACACCAAGAGGTCGCCAGTTCGATTCCCATTCAATTCCCGGCCAGGGCACATGCCCAGGTTGTGGGCCAATCTCCAGTGGGGGCATGCAGGAGGTGGTCAAACGATGTTTTCTTTCATCGGTGCTTCTATTTCTCTCTCCTTCCCTTCCTCTCTCTCTAAAAATTAATAAAGAAAAAAAATTAAAAACAAACTCAGAGACCTAAAATAACCACAAAGGATGATTTGAAATTAAATCTTTTTTAAATCTTCACTCGAGGATGTTCTTCTTTCTTTTTAATCCTCACCTGAGGATATTTTTCTATGTATGATCAGATAGAGTGGGAGAGAGGGAGAGAGAGAGAGAGAGAGAGAGAGAGAGAGAGAGAGAGAGACATGGATGTGAGAGAGACACATTGACTGGCTGCCTTCCACACAACCCAACCAGGGCCGGGTATGAACCACAACTGAAGTACGTGCCCTTGACTGGAATCGAACCCACGACTCATTGGTCCATGGGTCAACGCTCTAACTGCTGAGCCAAACCGGCCAGGGCAAGGATGTTTTTTATTGGTTTCTAGATAGATAGAATGAAAGGGAAGGAGGGAGGGGAAGAGAGAGAGAAACATCAATGTGAGAGAAACACATCAATTGGTTGCCTCCTGCACGACCCCATCTGGGGCGAGGGACATGTCCTTGACCAGGAATCAAACCCTCGACTCTTTGGTCCTCGAACTGATGCTCTAACTGCTGTGCCAAACCAGCCAGGGCTGAAATGACAACTTTTGAACTATCCCAGCTGGAGTGACTCAATTGGTTGAGTGTCTTACTGTACACTAAGAGGTTGCCAGTTCAATTCCTGGTCAGGGCACATACCTGGGTTTTGGGTTTGATCTAGGTTGAGGCACATATGGAAGGCAACTGATAGATATTTCTCACTCACATCAATGTTTCTCTCTCTCTAAGCATGTCCTCTAAGGTGAGAATTTAAAAAAAAATTTTTAATTTAAAGCAGTTGTGTTCTAGGCTAGAATCTTCCCTAACAAAGATCAATTTTCTCCTTAATTAAGCCCGTCTATTGTTTTTTGCATCTACAATAACACACCTTTGGAATATCAAAGTAATTTACATTTTCAGGACCCTTCAAAGCACAGGTACCAAACCAGAGCAGAGTCTACAAATCCCTTCATTGTTACTGAGTTAATTGTTGACTGTTAACTATCCTGTACCCACCTATATAAAAGAAATATGTCTATCATTTTACTTTTTATCCAATCTCAAAGGTTCCCCCACTCTGCACCCTGCCACCCCCACTCTGCTTTCTCCTGCTTCCCTAACCTATCACCAATGGATTGCATGTAACCCACTTATACATTCTCTTTTGATTGTAATGTATAAAGTAAGGTGCAAAACTGCCATTCTCTGGAGCATTTTCTCAGTCCATTGAGATTTCACTTCCTGGCAATTATTGACAGTTTGGCTCAAATGAACTCACAAAAAATTATCTACAGGTTTGAATGTTTCTTACATTGACAATATTCTATTCTGCCCTCCCCACCAGGTCCGTCAAGCTGCCCTGCACCAACTGTTTGAAAAGGAGCATCAGCAATACCAGCAGGAACTAAATCAGATGGGCAAAGCTTTTTATATAGAGAGACTCTGATGCCATAGGAAACACTGTTCTTCCATTTTCATCGTGCCCACTAACCTGGCCTTCTTTAGCCCCTACCACCTTCATCTTCCTTCCCAAAACACACCTAGATCTAGTCATCTGCCCAGGACTTAAGAAGATGCTTAAGTCTCACCTCTCAACCCCTTGGTGCTATTTGAGGAATAATCTATGAAACAGCTATTAAAACAAGAGTGACACCTTGTGGTGAGAATGAGATATGCAGTGTTGCTGTAAGGGGAGGAGGGGAGGTGGAAAGATGGACAAAGTAAGAGAATCCTGATTTGGTTTAAGAAATAAAGCTAGCTCTTAAAATTCAAATTTAGCCCTGGCTGGTGTGGCTCAGTTGGTTGGAGTGTTGTGCTGTACGCTGAAAGGTTGTGAGATCTATACCTGATCAGGGCACATACCCAGGTTGCAGGTTTGATAAGAGGCAACGGATCAATGTTTCTCTCTCTCTCTCCCTTTTTCTCTCTCTATAAAAATGTCATATTAGCCCTGGCCAGTTTGGCTCAGCAGTTAGAGTATCAGCCCGCAGACCAAGGAGTCACAGGTTCGATTCCGATCAAGGGCACGTACCTCGGATTTATTCGTTCCTGGCCCTGGTTGGGTTTATGCAGGAGGCAGCCACATGATGTGTCCCTTTCACGTCGATGTTTCTCTCTCTCTCTCCCCCTCCCACTCTATCTAAACAAAAATGGAAAATTGTCCTCGAGTGAGGATAAAAAAAAAAGTCAGTAAAAATAATAAAAATAAAAAATCAATTGCCCTGGCCGGTTTGGCTCAGCAATTAGAGCGACGGCCCAGGGACCAGAAAGACCCGGGTTCAGTTCCCGCTAAAGACACGTGCCTTGGTGGCAGTTTGTCCCCAGACCCAGTTGGGGTTGTGTGGGTGGCAACCACTCGATGTGTCTCTCTCACGTCGATGTTTCTCTCTCTCTTCCTCCCTCTCTCCCTCTCATTTTGTCTCAAGATTAAAAAATAAATAAATAAATAATGTTCTTGGGTGAGGACAAAAAAAAATCAATTAAAAAAAAAAAGTTCATGCCCGGCTGGTGTGGCTCAGTGGTTGAGCGTTGACCCATGCACCAAGAGGTCATCAGTTTGATTCCCAGTCAGGGCACATGCCCAGGTTGTGGGCCAAATCCCTAGTGAGGGGCATGCAGGAGGAAGCCAATTGATGTTCTCTCTCATCTATCTTCTCTCTCATCAATGTTTCTATCTCTGTCCCACTCTCCCTTCCTCTCTCTCTAAAAATCAATAAAGAAAAAACAATTTTAAAAAAAGTTCAAACTTAGACCATTTGACTCATTCTTTCAGCCCTAAATTTTGATTTATTTCAAAAGTGCTTATTCACAGCTGCCATAATCTTATTTTTTTCCTTTATTGATTTTAGAGAGAGAGAGAGAAACATGGATGAGGGAGAACATGGATTGGCCGCCTCCTGCATGCCCCTCACTGGGGATTGGGTCCACAACCTGGGCATGTGCGCGGACCAGGAATCGAACCAGCCACCGCTTGGTGCATGGGTCGATGCTCAACCACTGAGCCACACATGCTGGGCTACAATTGCCATAATCTTAATATAGCTTTCTGAATTTTGCTCATCACCTCTCAGATCTCACCTCCACTGATTTTTTCTGTACACTTGGACAAATAACTCTGAATGTAGCTATTAATCCACAGACACTGTGGTGCTTGAGTTTCAGGAGGCCTGGGTTTTAGGTTTGGAGTCAGCTAGTTATTGTGAGACCTTGGAAATAAGTCTCTTTTTTCTGGGTCTGAATTTCCACCTCTGTAAATGACAGGGTTCCCATCTCAAATGCTTTCACGGATGGGGCAGGTAATAGAACAGATGTAAGGAAATAAGTAGTTGTAGAATTTGTAGGGAACTAGAAAGAGCATTAAATCTAAAGACATTCAGAATTTGAAAAATACTGTAGAGTACTGTTTAATCTTATGCATCTATAGGCCACAAAAAAACATTACATACAAATGTATGTAAAGACCCACTTTACAATCAAATGACATCCCAAACCAGGGAGATCCCTGTTTAAGAAAAATTCTGCCCCCCAAATTCCCATCTCCCACTCTCTTCCCTTTGAGAACCATTAGTTCGTTCCTTATATTTATGGAGAGACCCCTATTTTGCAGGCAGTAACAGTTGCCAGAACACACCATCACTCTCTGATGTAATCATCATCATATACACTTTCTCCTCTTCTCTCACTTTGCCATCTGCATCCAAATTGGTCACTCATCCTTCTGTGTTGATTTTTTTCCTGCCTTCATCTTCATATGGCTATGTCTTCATTGCAAAACGCACATCTTTTTTGTTGGGGTGGAGGGTCAATCCTCTCCTGAGGCTATTTTTCCATTGCTTTTTTTTTAATCCTCATCCAAGGACATTTTGCATTTATCTTCAGATAGAGCGGGAGGGAGAGAGGGAGAGAGAGAGAAACATCCATGTGAGAGAGACACATCGAGTGGTTGCCACCCACACGACCCCAACCGGAGCCGAGGACAAACTGCAACCAAGGTATGTGCCCTTAGCAGGAACCGAACCCGGGTCTCTCTGGTCCACAGGCCGACGCTTTAACTGCGAGCCAAACTGGCCAAGGCTCCATTGCTTTTTTAGATAGAGTTGAAGGGAGGGAAGGGGAGAGAGAGAGAAAGAGAGAGAGAGAGAGAGAGAGAGAGAGAGAGAGAGAGAGAGCGCGCGCCAATCCGTCCAGAGACAACTCATACCTTTTTATTCCCCTTTCCTGCAAGTCTGTCTTATCCCCCAATATACATTTTTCATCTCAACCTCAGAGCTTCTCCTTCCTTCTCTTCCTACACACCCTACTGATAAGGAGCACAGAACAGCAGGATACAGAGAGAAGAGCACAGGCTTTGGAGATGGGTGTGGGTTCAATGTCTGGCTTCTAATTGCTGTCACTATGTAAGCTAATTATCTGAGCCCCTGAAATGGGGACAATAATACCCATCTCAGGGGATCATTAAGAGGATTAAATAAGCCCTGGTTGGTTTGGCTCAGTGGTTGAGAGTCGGCCTGCGGGCCAGAGAGACCGGGTTTGGTTCCCGCTAAGGGCATGTACCTCGGTTGCAGTTTGTCCCTGGCCCTGGTTGGGTCATGTAGGTGGCAACCACTCGATATGTCCCTTTCACGTCGATGTTTTTCTCTCTCCCTCCCACTCTATCTGAACGAAAAATGGAAAAATGTCCTTGGGTGAGGATAAAAAAAGGATTAAATATGATAAAGTATGTAGACAGCAAGCCCAGTGCAGTGAAGATTTTTGCCAGTTTATTTGAATCAAACTGTCGACAATTTCCAGGAAGCAAAATCTCAATTGATTGAGATAGTGCTCCAGAGAATGGCATTAAGTTACATGAAATCCATTGGTAATAGATTAGGGAGGTGGGAGAAAGCAAATGGGAAAACCTCTGGGGTTGGATGAAAAGTGAAATGATAGCTCGGCTGGTGTGGCTCAGTGGTTGAACGTTGACCCATGCACCAAGAGGTCACCAGTTTGATTCCAGGTCAGGGCACATGCCCAGGTTTCAGGCCAAATTCCCAGTAAGGGGCATGCAGGAGGTGGCCAATTGATGTTCTCTCTCATCCATGTTTCTATCTCTCTCTCCCTGTCTCTTCCTCTCTATCTAAAATCAATAATAATAAATAAAAAGTAAAGTAAAATGATAGACACATCCATCTTTTAGGTGGATACAGTATAGTTAACAGTCAACAATTAATAACAATGAGAGGATTTGTGGTCTCCCCAGAGTAGTGCCTGTGCTTTGAGGGGTCCGGTAAAAGGAAAATTACTTTGACATTACAAAGATATGTTATCATAGTTGCAAAAAAACGACAGGCTCAGTTAAGGTAAAGATTGACCTTTGTCAGGGAAGATGCTGTCCTTGGACATGGCTGCCTGCCATAAACTGCTTTTAGTTAAAAAGTTTTAATTTCATAGAAAAAAAACTAAATAGTAAAAACCAAAAACAAAAAAAAAGTTTTAATTTCAGACCATCCTTTGTGATTATTTTAGGTCTTTGAGTTTGCAAGGCCACCACGCAGGCCTCCCCTGTGAGCTTGTCAGGTTAGCACATGGCCCCTTTCCGTCCACGCACACGGTAGGTATGCTTCCTTTTCCCTCCCAGGAGATTTTCCTGTGACCCAGGCCTTTCACAGTTCCCATGTTGGCCGCCTTATGCCGCCCAAATGTCATTCTCCATCCTACACCTGTCCCCCTCTCTGTTTTATATATCCATTTGTTGATGGCAAACACAACACCAGGTGTGAGACCAGTGGAGTCAGACTGAACCTTGGTTCAGCAGCCTCAGCACTCAGTTCTAGCGAAGGAAGAATTCAGAGCAAAACTCAAACTATAAAAGAAAGTTTATTTAGAAAAGTCACAGAGGTAGAAGATGTGAGCAGTAGAAGAAATGGGCTCAGGAAACAAGTTACAGAGGCAAAAGAAGTGGCCCTTGGCGCTCAGGAGAGAGAAGGGTAAAGGTATCAGGCCTGGGAGAAGAAGACAGGGGCAGGAAGGGTGCTGGCAAACAGCACTAAGGGCTTTTAAGGGAGGAGATTTCAGGGGCCATCCCAGGGGAGGTTCTCAATAGAATATTCATCAACTTTCCAGGTGTCAACTTTCAGGGCATAATCTTCACTGATTGGTCGATGCCAAGGGCAGAGGGTCATTAGTCAATGCAGCTGGGCCTGATGTCAACCTGTCATCGCTTGTCTGGTTTTGGTGCTTTTCTAGGCCTGGAGCTGAAACACAGCTGAGGCCTAGGTGTTATCTCTAGAGGTTAATGCTTAAGGGAATGGTCATGCAAGAGCTTGTATGGGGGTCATCATATGAGACTATTCTCCTGCCCCTTGTTCCTCTTCTGAGGGGGTCTTCCACATGACTAGCAACAGGCCAGGGAAGGGTCTGAACTGCATGACCAGTGATATGCTAGGGGAGAAGAAGTTACCCTGGGGCAAGGTCCTTGTTATTCCAGTTTTGCCCACTGCTGGACACCCCAGGCTTTCCACCCTGGTGACCTTCTGTACCTGGTCTAT